CAGACTAAGGTGCAAGCAGACAGACCGCATAGGCGTCCCGTGGGCTTAGTAGGCGTGCTGTGTGGGTGCTTGATGGAATGCCTGGCTCGTCCATGCTACGCCGTTGGGCGTCTGCAAAAACATGCTAACGACGTTTGTGGGGCGGCTGAGGCGAAGGCAGTCGAACGTCAAGGGCGTTCTATGGTCTTAGTAGGCATGTTTCATTGGCGCTTGACGGCATGCAGGGCTCATCCGTGCTACACCATAGGATGATTACAAAAATATGCCCGCGACGTCTGCAGGGTGTTTGAAGCGGTGGCAGGCGAACGCCACAGGCGTCCTGTGGGCTTAGTAGGCGTGCTGTGTGGGCGCTTGATGGCATGCATGGCTTGTCCGTGCTACGCCATTGGGCGTTAACAAAAACATGCAAGCAACGTCTGTGGGGCAACTGAGGCCAAAACAGGCGGACGTCAAGGGCGTCATGTGGGCTTAGTAGGCGTGCTGCGTGGGCACTTGACATCGAAATTTAAATAAGAAGCGGGGCATTTCCCCTCTTTTTGGACATAAGGCTGGCTTCGTGGGCTGATCTGGGCGGAAGACATTGTTAGGTGGGGAGTTTGGCTGGGGCGGCACATCTGTTAAAAGATAGTGCAGGTGTCCTAAGATGAGCTCAGTGAGAACAGAAATCTCGTGTGGAACAGAAGGGTAAAAGCTCACTTGATTCTGATTTCCAGTACGAATACGAACTGTGAAAGTGTGGCCTAACGATCCTTTAGACCTTCGGAATTCGAAGCTAGAGGTGTCAGAAAAGTTACCGCAAGGAAAACTGGCTTGTGGCAGCCAAGCGTTCATAGCGACGTTGCTTTTTTATCCTTCGATGACGGCTCTTCCTATCATTGTGAAGCAGAATTCAACAAGTGTTGGATTGTTCACCCACCAATAGGGAACGTGAGCGGGGTTTAGAACGTCGTGAGACAGCTTAGTTTTGCCCTCTTGATGACAGTGTCGCAATAGTAATTCAACCTCGTACGAGAGGAACCGTTGATTCACACAATTGGCCATCATGCTTGGTTGAAAATCCAGTGGCGCGAAGCTACCATGTGCTGGATTATGACTGAACTCCTCTAAGTTAGAATCCGGGCTAGAAGCGACGCATGCGCCTGCTGTCCGCTCGCCGACACGCAGTAGGGGCCTATGGCCCCCAAGGGCACATGTCGTTGGCTAAATCATCGCGACGAAAGCTTTGTGGTGACCTCCTTGAAGTACAATTTCCATCGAGCGGCGGGTAGAATCCTTTGCATAGGACATAAATATGCGATGGGGTATTGTAAGTGGAAGAGTGGCCTTGCTGGGACGATCCACTAA